TAATCGTATTTCATGTACTAGATAACGGGATCTGTGAAGTTGTTTCGGATTATGCAAACAAGTTTAACAATGCAAGTTCTAAGAGGTATCATGTATTGTTGTATTGATTTCCAATTTTTCATAACTTTTAATATTTTGTAGCATCTATTTGTTGATGTAGTAAGTGGGCCTTGTGTTGTGTGTTGCAGGTTCTAATGTGGAGTGTGGACTGGATAGTCTTGTTAAGTTATGTGACAATGTGTATTTGATGCATGACTTTTGCAAGGTAACAAATACTCTTGTGTAACATATGGTTAATGCGGTAATTTGCGTAAGTTGCTTAACGTCTTAACTATCTTCTTACGGGTTTAGCTTGTTGGTGAAAAAATGCCGAAGCTGCTGGATTTTGGTAATGACCTTGTTCACTTAGAAGCTGCATCGAGGGTATGCTTTTTGTTGTGATATAACTCATGGTTGCTTCTTTTGCTCTAGTTCCCAACTCTCCTTTACTTGTGCTGAAAATTACAGATTGAATTGGAAACCATTACCAATAAGATGCAAGAGTTATTCGACATCGAGGAAGAGGTGAATGATGAGTTCCTAGCTTCAGAAAATGATGGTGCTAATTTTGTGGGCTACCGAAACGTAAGCCACATGAATAAAGAGTTAAGAAAAGGTCTTTGTAGCATCTTCTAATCCGATCTTCATGTTTTTAGGTGGTGCATGATTTTCTTTGTACGATTGACGGCGACAAGCAGTTGCTAAATATCTTATACGCAGAAGTGGTAACCTATATAACTCTCGGTTAGACCTTGAAGGACATGTATATCATGCTCAAAACCTATATTTACTTTGTAACTCACAGGGAGGACTTGTAAATTCCTACATAGCTGAGTATCCAAGTGGTGTTCGCTTCAAGGAAGGTACCATCACATCTACGGTCTATTGTACTCATGTCTACATTTCGCGGTTCTCATTTCTACTCTGGCTATTCTCCCTATCTGCAGCGACCAACATCCTGACCCGTTTCGTGGAAACGTTCTACAAGTCTCGCGAGGAGATTGAAAGACAAGCCGAGGCTGAGAAGGAGATACTGGAGAAAGGAAAAATGAACATCAAACAAAATGGGAACCTCTAAAGAACCGTAGCTAGTTTCATCGACAACTTCTATGCTGCTTAGATGGAACTGCAAACTATCTATCATCTCTTCTCTAGTGCTTATGTACTAGAAAATATTTGAACTTTTTTACAATTCGAAGTTTTACCTTATCTTCATTGTTCTAATAAAACTATCTGTTCGTTTTTTTTTACCTGCCTACGCATCCGTACCAAACATTTTACAAACAAAGATCTCTGTGACAATCCCAAAGATTGGCTCGTCTGAGCCCTAAATAATATCTGATGACAAAAGAAATAAAAAAAAATCTGTGATAATGTCAAATGAAGCAAACATGTAAAAACTAGCATGAGAGGAAAAGCTTTATCAATGTTAATCAACCTAATGAATTGTTATCTAGTAATTAGAAGTGATATTACCTGAAGTTATGCCTCAAAATCAACATTTTAAAGGCAGAAGCATTATTAGATAGATATCATCCATAACCATAAGACCCACATTCACTGTTAACTTATCGATATTAGACAGAAAACTTTCAACAGCGAAATACAAAACAAGAGAGAGAAAACTAAAAGACACTCATCTACAACTCAAAATGCGCAAAAGAAGCAGTTAAAAAAGGCGTTGTCACGCCGCAAGGGTTAAGATTTGGTATTTCATCCTAGGCCTCGAACCCTTACATCTCCGACTAACGCCGGTATAAGACGGTTTGCTACTACTCCCGAGCCCGTTTAGAACCAGCTTTTCTGGTTCTGGACGTAGGAGGCAACACATTGTGTGGGACATATAAGGGAATAGGCAAATGAAGTTTACTCCCAGAAGCCAAAGCAGGGAACCCAACAGCAGGGATTCCAACAAGAGCACAGCAGACTCCTGCTTCGACATCATGGTAGTATTATTGCCATTACCCTTTTGCAAACAGTAACGTAGAGACTGGTTTTCAGCAACGAAGCACTCAAGCATACGTCCTAGTCTCAAGCATTCTCTTTCGAGATACTTACTCTTCTTCTCTAAATCTTGTACATATTCCTTCTTCCTCTCTCTCGATCTAACCGCCGCATCTCTATTTCTTACTCTCCTGAACCACAATCACATCCCAATTATCAAACCTCAGTTTCTTTTCATAGCATAAAAGGCTTTAACAATCTTAAGTTAACCAAAATACACATACCTATGTTTGAACATAATCAGCTCATGAATATTAACACAAGATTAACAATAATTAAACACAACCAAAATTTAAACACTCATTAATCAACTCTTTAATCTTACACTTAGTTAAATGATTAGTTCTCAATGTTGTTATCAAAACCATAACACACTTATAGCAATCTAAATGAAACCAAAATCAACATCACTCATAATCAATCAACTCTTCAACGTCACACATACATAAACATATCACAAGATACTATATAAAGGCAAGCAAAATTTAAACACTCGTTTACCAAATTTTCACTGTTACACATTACTTGAAAGATTTGTTCTCAATGTTGTTTTCAAAGCATAACACACTTTTCACAATCTAAACGAAACCAGAATCAACACAACTATACAAAATCCATCCATAAACCCTAATTTTTCAAAAAACAGTAAGATTAGATATACCTTCTTCGTTTCTTAGCCACAGCATCATCGTCTCCTTCTTCATCAGCATCATCATGAATCTCGCTACCAGAATCATTAGACTTCTTCTCAACAACCAAATCCGAATTCTCCTTCCCGGAATCATCAGCGGCGGCGGGAGAATCGACGGTTAGAACTTTATCAGCCGCCAAATCAACGGAGCCAGAATCGCTAGTTGGATAATCAACGAGTAGATCCGCTATGAAATCTGAAACCGATTGCTGATCCAATTCCACAAAACTCTCCTCTTGATGATTCTCATCGTTCATCAATTGATTCTCGATTTCTCCGATCCATGAATCCGGTGAAGACTGAAGAAAATCCTCCGCCGGAAGAGAATCAATTACGATTGAAGGATCGAAATCGAAGAAGAAATCTTCATCTCCGAGTAAATCTATGCTTCCAAATTCCTCCGCCATGGTCAAAAAAAAAAATATACAAAGAAGAAAAAAAAAAGCGAATTTAATTTAAGAAATTGGAAGAGAGATGAGTTATATAGGAACTGTGTTTGAGACTTTTCTAAATTTCTTTGCGACCAAGTAAATGTGTAGAAAAAGAGTCAGCATGACACGTGTTGATTATGGACGCGTTTTTTGAATTTTTAGCCAATGATGTGATGGAGTGTACTGTGTTATAGTGTTTCTGTTAGCAGAGGATTATTATTTTTATGTTCCGTCACACAACCAATGAGAAGGCTTTAAGCTGGAAGAATAGGATCACAGCCGAACACGTGTACTCAGTGAAGTGTTCGTGTGATTAATAACTCGGTTCTAATTCACTTCTTTTCTCTTGGTTTGATTTTCTTATTTTCGGTACAGTTTTGTAAACCAGTTAGCTATAGTCAAAACGATGTACATGTAGTTGAGATGGACAATGAGACCAAGGAGAGCAAGGCTTCTTTGACCATTTCTCAGAAATCAATCAAAATTCTTCAGTCCCTTTTTCTCTTTGTCACCGTCAACATCTTCCACGATTGAATCTTTGTTCTCCGAGAGGACTTTTCTTCCTTCGTGACCATCTTCTAGACTTTGAAAGCTATCAATTTATTAATTAAAATCATATATTATATTGTCAATTTATGTTACATTCTGGATTATCTTCCTTATTCAATTTTAAATGAGTGATTAATCTTCATTCAATCTCACATGAATGAATTTGTAAAATTTTCAGTTATCTAGCAGATGAGTGAACTAATTATATATGTGAAAGTTGACCTACTATTTTCATATGAATGTCACGTTATTATTTAATTATTTTCTATGTGTTCATTCAATAATTAATGTAAGATTTACATTTATTATTAATTATTTATCTTTAATTGTATCAATTCTAAATTTATTTTTGTTATTATATGTATTTTAAAGAATAAATATATTTTACTATTTTCTTCATACTCATTTAAGGTTTATTTGCTAATGTTTTGTAGTCATAACTTAAAATAGGAATAGATATTACTATAGTGAATTAGCTAATGGTTTGGTAGCTTATTATCATCATTAATCTCTATCTAAATAATATAATACAGAGGATGAGGAGTATACAGAGATCCATCCTCAAATTCCTGATGTTTATATATTTCCAACATTAACATCTATTAAATTGTTTTACGATGAAAATTATTTCAAGATTGTGTGAATAATTACACTTTTTCAAAAAGTACTTAAAAAGTAGTTTAACATTAAAAGCAGTTGATGATTATATATTTTTCAATAAAATGTTAAATTATATTTTAAAAAAAATGTAGATAAAATGCAATTTCAATTAGAAACGAATAGAAGACAAGTTTTAAACACCAATAGAAATATTAAAAAGCTAGATGATGTTAGTTTTAACTTCTGGACAAAAACCAAATTTGGAGGTCGTATCTCTTGTCCCCAAGAAGTCTGATTGATGAGATTTGATTTTGGACTTGCTTATCAACCGAACTTGTCAATAATAGCATTAGTAATTATAATTTTAGTAACACATTATCTACATTAATTATAATTTTAGGACAATTGTATTAACCTGACTTGTGATCTAATGACGTGGTTCATAAAGTCACTTATCGAAAGTTAATAGTGTATATTTTCTATGATATAGTTCTTTTATAATGCTAATTAAATACCTATGAAAATTTATAAGGATTGCAAATTTTGTAATTAAACTAATAGAGAGGACTCTAACAAAGCCATTTAACTACGTAAAGCATATATTTCCTTTTGGATGCTACTTTTTTTTTGGTATATAAGCGGGAATACTTACCACTGTACTACAACTACCTTGTTCACCAAACTTCAAATAACTTCCCCCACGTCCTAAGTAACATCATTAAAATTTGAAGAACATGATAGCGAGGGAAACTAAATTCAACGTGAATTTATTTTACTTGGTTTACTCTATTTTTGTTACTACCAAGGTGAATTTGATTTAAACCTAGTTCAAAGTCACTTTTTTCTAGCTTAGCCCAATTATATAAATTGTGCAATATTGTAATTGTCCTAGTCTAATTATCATCACGTTTTTTAAATTTTAGTATTGATTTCACATGTCTTAATTTTAAATTTTATTGATGATATATTATTTGACATAGTATCAATTTCTTTTTAACACGCGTTAAAAGCAATAATTTTCTTAAAAATATTTAACCAAATTTAGCTTGTATTATACAAAAATAAAATGAGTAATATCACTACCTAACCATACTTTAGGTTTTTATTATTAAAATCTATATATGACATTTTGTACATATAGTGGTTCATTTCTCACACAAGTTCTTTTAAATTTAGTATAGATTTCACGTAACGGTTTTAAGAAGATATTCCTATTTTGTTTGACTATATTATTTGATATAATATCACTTTCTTTTTGACAGGCATCAAAAATAATAAATTCCATTAAAATCATTTGACCACTTTTAACTCTTGTTGGATTATCTACCAAATATAATTGATGTTATATAGCTATTTTATATCAAAGTCATTTTTTGGAAAACAGGGGCTTTTAGTTAAATAAAAAAACTAGAGGACCTATAAGTAAAAATATTATAATATATAATAACATAAAAAGATAAGTAATTAACATGAGTACTATGAAAAAAAATCACACAAGCAATAAGAATTAGTAAGTCATTTGTCAATCATGGTATTAATAACACATTATTTACATAAATTTTATTTTTCTTATATCTAACACGCGTCAGAAAAGATAACTGTTGTCAATATATTTATTTTACTAATTTTAACAAATAATTTATTATCTACCAAATAAAATGACAACAAAATAAAAATCTAGATCTAAATACAGCAAACCAAATAAAACCAAAGCAAAATTGATGAGAAAAAATGCTCTTTTTCACAAAACTAGGGGGTTTTGAGATTATAAAATAAATAAAGAGTCTAAATGTAAAGTTATTATAACAATATGGAAGAAAATATAAATAAAAATAAGTAACAAAAAGTAAAAAAGGCCGACCTTTTCAGTGTCTTATAAATTTCTCCATCGTCTTCTTCTTCTTCTTCTTCTTCTTCGTCTTCTCTCTGTAAACCCCCACACAAACCTGTGGCCGCTATATTCTCCATTTTCTCAGTAACCATCTCTGTTTTTTTCTCTGTTTCTCAGATTAAGTTTCGTGTGTCAAACAGATCAAAACCCAAACAATGGTTATTCCTCTGTTTTTTTCAGAATTTTTCAATCGATGTTATTTTATAGAAATTGATTCATGGGTCTGTGTTATTTTCAGGTGAGTTCCATTGTAAAAATGGAGAACGACGACGTAATGACTCCGCCATGGCTAACACCAATGCTTCGAGCTGATTACTTCGTGACTTGTTCGATTCATTCACAATCGAGTAAAAGTGAATGTAATCTGTTTTGTTTGGATTGTTCAGGCAATGCCTTTTGTTCTTCTTGTCTCGCTCATCACAGAACCCATCGTGTTATCCAGGTTTGGTTTTCAATTTTTCATTACCCATCTATCTCTCAGGAATTTTGTCGAACACGTTTGTTTAATGAACCTAATTCTATTTTTTTTTTTTTTGTTGTTACAGATTCGACGATCGTCGTATCATAATGTGGTGAGAGTGAGTGAGATTCAAAAACATATTGATATCTCTTGTATTCAGACTTATGTTATCAATAGTGCTAAGATCTTCTTCTTAAACGCGAGACCTCAATGTCGAACTGGTAAAAGCTTAAACAAAACATGTCAGATCTGTTCTCGTAACCTTCTCGATTCGTTCCTGTTCTGTTCTCTTGCTTGTAAGGTAAATGCTGCAATGTTGTGGTCTTTCTTCAAACTCAAGTTTGATTATATAGGTTTCTTGATTGTTTCTTATTGGTCTAAAATAGCTTGAAGGTGTGAAGAATGGAGAGGATCCAAACCTCACTTTATTTCATAGTGGAAAGAGTGATGACTCTTCGAAGATCATCAATACCGGGATTTGTAGCCGTTTGATCGACGGGATCTCGATTGCGGTTGACGACCAACGCAGCGAAACCGCGGGTGTGTTATCTCCAGAGACACCTTCAATAGAAAGCCACCGGAATTACCCAATGAAGAGTAGAAGAAAGGGTATACCTCAACGAGCACCTTTCTAAAAGGCTTTATTAAAGAGTTAAGATAGAAGATAGAATATGGGAAGAATCAGAAAAGAGAAAACAAAAAGTGTTGGTAAATGACTAATGAGTAAATGGAATCATCTTACATAAATAGTAGCAAGCTTAATGATTATAAGAGTACAGAACAAAAGTGTGATTTTTTCATAGATATTGGGTTATAAATATATGATTTTAAACAGCCTTATTTACCTCATTTTTGTCTCTTTAATTATTTCTTTACAGCAGCACTATCACCTTTTTTATGATTTGGAAAAATAAAATTTTAAAATGTCACATCACATTTACAAAACATGGAGATGTAAAAATACATATTTGTATATATATAGGAGATTCCTTCATGGTCTTTTGAATGTTCATTTTAGCTTAAAAAGTGAGAGAGTGAGTTGGCATTTATGGAGGGGATATGTGAAAAGTATGGTATAAAATAAGCTTGGTTTAATAAAGAATGGAGAAAGTGTAGTGGTGTGGATTTGTCATACTTTGCCATCAACATTGTTTTTGGGGTTTGGTGAGAGTATCTTATAATTTTTTGGGCAAAGATATATTTCCTTTTGTGGAAGGTAAATCATGTTTTGCTTGTTTACCTCCTTTTAAAGAAAACGATTTAATTTTTTATTTTGCCAAAGGATTTTCATTTTTATTGACTTTGTAGGTTCATATGGTGGATACAAACATATTGGGATTAGCCCATACATTACAAGGTGGAAACATACTAAAAGAGGCTCATGCCCCATTAAGGATGTCAACTGGGCTGTTCATGTCCAAATGGACAGCCCTATTTTTTGGTGATTATTGGTCTAAGCTAAATGGGATCAAATCCAAATTAGACCAAACCCAAAAAAACCATAATAAATCAGGCAGTCCATGGGTCCAAATCTTATTATATAAAATACAGTTTAGAAAGTTAGTAACTCGCGAGATCATGACATGTGGCAAGTATATATATATATAATTATGTTTATTAATAAAAAAAAATTAACAAATTTGATTTTACATGTGTTATGATCAATTAAATAAATCTAGCATGTATTAATTTTAAAAAAAAAAGATTATTAGTAACTCTTAAAAATAAAAAGACATTGAGAAGATACCCTGGATATGTCCTGGAATATCACTGGCTTTGAGGATTGTACCTCTCATGCTTGCTTCACTTATATATTCATTTGAGGATTGTACACCCTCGAGGTCGTTCTTGAGGATTTGAACATGACTTTGGGATTTACCTTGCACAAGACCGAACCAATTTATTCTGACACCCTCGAGAAAGCGTACAATTATTTTTATTAGTCTTTCATAATTTCATCTCCCTGGTATTAATATATAGACAACTAACTCTAGCCTATGTGTCGATGTCGTGCTTATAAAGAAACTTACTTTTTTATTATACCTTGATGCTTCCAAAGGGAGTCTTTTTATCGTTGGTTGGAATGTATTGTTATCGTTACAAAGTTATTTGATTGTTGGTCTCAAGGGTAAGAAAAGGAAAAGTTTTTTTTTCGTTATTATAAGTGAAGTAGTTTATCAAGTTGTGTTGGGCTTCAAATTTGTCTCTAAAATCTATGAATTTTTCCTACAGCCCATGTAATATTGGCTTATATAATAAAATTACCGAGGACCAATAACATCAATACACACATTCGGAAACACATCGAATCAATGAGAATACAATGTTAGCGCTTAGTGCTACTGGAGTCTATACTCGTCACATCCCAGATGGTTCGTTCTATATCTTTCTATTGGATTTACTCAAGTACTTATCTTTTCTCAATTAACCAGTTACGGTTAGATTTTGGTCATGCCTATATTTAAGAAAAAACAAATAATAGTTAATTCATATTTTACTAAACTTATATATATATATATTGATAAGTTTATGCAATTATTAGTATATGATAATGATGTGATCAGATAGTTACATATGATTTTCAAACAAATTATTATTTTATCGAATTATGTTAAATATTATATTGCCTCGCTAAAGACCAAAAACTTTTATAAATTATAGTGATTATTAATTTCTCGAGTATTAGTTTATAAAAGTTTTTTTTTGTACAAACTCTTCACAAGTTAAAGTTGAATTTACAATTGTGGTCACTTATTTTCTTCTCCTAATTTATTTGAATGTTGTATAATTTATAAATTACTAGATTAGGACCCGCCCGATGGACGGGTTTTAAAGTTTTAAAATAAAATTTAATAAAATGTATATCAAAATTTGTTGTAAGAGAAAATATTTTTGAAAAAATAGATAACTTTTTTAGCTAGAGAAAAGACTTATGATATTTCTTTAAACCTTTTTGTTGAGAAAAAGTTTTTATTTCACTAATTTTTACTTCTATAGTTTAGTTATCAAATGTTTTACCACATACTTATCATTATTAGTAATGTCAATTCACAAAAAAAGTAATTTTGGAAATCCATATATTTTTCAATTTTTTTTTTATAATCCAACCACCAGTCAAACTTTGATCTTATTTACATTATTTTACAAATATACTATTGAAGTATGCTTTTTACCGTTTACAAAATATATATATGATCAGTTGATAACAATACCCCAACTATATGTCTATTTTTTTTTCTTATAGTTTCTTTAACCATTTAAATTGTTGACCCAAAAAATATATTAAATAATCACATAAAAATAATTGATGACATTTATATAAAAGAAAAAAAATGCTTAAATGAAGTGAGTGTATAACCAACCTAGAAATTAGAAAAGTTGAGAAATTAATTTGACATAACTAAAAGAAAAATGAAAATTATAAGTACAATGATATATGAGTCTTAGATAATAAAAATATAAAAATAAAAATTAAAAGGA